TGTAGTTTGTATAAGGTTGCAACCTCAAACAATCCAATTAAGACACGCATCTAAATTATATCATAAATAAAATTTTGATATAAAAAATTATAATGATGGCTTGAGGATCCATTTTCATCAATAATTGTAAAATTTTAAACTCCAAAAATGGTTCAAACCAAGTAGATCTATGAAAACATGAAAATATTGAAATTGGGTGGTCCAGATAATGTATTGTAGGATACACAATTTTACGGACTTTGAAATGTTTATTTCTTCACATATTCATACATCTTGATGTCAAAATGATCAATTAGAGGGTTTTTGAACATCAAAATAATCTAATAGTTTCCGATGGATTTTTCCTTTATGCAGCACCGTAAACTTCAATGCTGAAGTGGGGCTTCCATGAGCTTTTGTTAGTGTGGTCGCGCACTGTCATGAGCTTTTTGGTAGCTTCGGTGTAACACAACAAACCATAAACAACTACAACAACGTCTCCGAGGGTTGTGAACCTGGGACTTTTCTCGAACGTCTTAAAATGACGACCCCAACCATCTAAATCTCCGGTAACAATCCGCAAGTGATTCAATTACTTACAACAAAATTAGTAGTACACTTCTTCCCAATACTATTACTACTCGTGAAAAGGGAAAATGTAAAAATTACGAGCCCAAGTGAGACTTCCTCCTTCCCCATACTATTCGTGAAAGGGAAAATGTAAAAATCACCGGCCTAAGTGAGACTTACCATATCTATGTGCATCCCCAATTTATTTGAAGGAATTATTCTTTTATTGATGGCTAATAATAGTGGAATCAATTATGCAGAGTCAAAATGAGATTATGTTCTATTGATGAATAGATCCAATGAATCCACTTGGAAAAAAAATTGTAATTTTGAGTGAAATCAGAATGTATCAAGCTTGTACCAAAGATTCAAAGTTACCACATTGGATGGTATCAATGGGTCTGTTGCTCATATGGATATAGTAAGAGCCATTGTTTTGTAGCGTTTTATAACACATTAAGGATGTACGATCAAAAGATAACCATCGATCACATACCTTTCTCCTTATTTGATCTAAGCCATAGAGTGAAACAATTAGAAGACACTCTATTACAGACATCCATAAAACTTGAAAATAGTTGTACAACTATTTTTTACCTTCCATATTAGACATTCTAGACATGCGAACGTGTTGACATGAATGATGAAGATGTCAACAGGCACGCAGCCTCGGATTCTAAGCATGTGAGAAGTAAGTGTCTGCATGGTCTTCGCAACGGGCATTCATTTTTGTAACACTGTCCGATCTTGAACCCTGCTTAAGGCTGTAAACGGGTCTCGTCAAATCATCCGTGCGGTTTAGATACCCCATGGGTCGCCTGCTCTACCATAGTTAAATAAGTAAAACCATTGATTTTAAAAATGGATCAGTGATACAGATCAGACACCCTAAAAACCAGTTCAAATCGATGAATCGACGGTCTGGATTACTATTTTACTGTGCAAAAAAAACAGTGAATTGACAAAAAAAATGTCAAAAAACAATGAAGCAACCAAAAACTAGTTTGGATCGATGAATCGGAATCCAGATCATCATTTTACTATAGAAAATCGTTGTTTTACTATGTGGAACTGCCAATCATTTTCCTATATATACAAAGAACCCAAATGAGGTGGACGATTCTCAGGTCAAACCAGATTATTCCATGCCGACCCAATGTTTTTTAAATCACTAAAAATACGATTTTTCAAAAAAAAAATTGATATTTGAAAATCCATTAAGAACTCTTTTAAGTCTCATGAGTCGAGCTATTGTTCTCTTGTTCCCTCGAATCCATGGAGTAAGACATTGATTTCTCAATAAGATCAATTATGCATGATGAACTCCCCTTAAAAAGCATTGGCACGTATGTAAACGAGGTGCTCATTCTTCAAAAGATTTTCACAAACTTGTCTTTTGAAGAGAACAGATATAAATTATATTTTATCTTTTTCCAAAACATCTTTTTAAAAAACTACTTCCCCATCCATTATTTTCAATGAGTTGATAATTTGAATTTTAGTTTTTAGGTAACCACATTAAAAATGGGATTTGGTTGTTATAAACATTTATTTCTAGAAAAAACCTCTTTACATAACCCACAAAAGGCCTCTCTCGCTTCGACTCTCTCCAACCTCTCCTCTCTCCTGCAAAACATGGTGCCCCGACTCACTCCATCTCCTTTTTTAGCATTCCCCTCTCTCTATTTGGCTCACCAAGAAACGGATATACTCTCCCCCCTCCACTCTGTCGAGAGAGACTCGAATCAAAATATAAACTGGAACTTCAAACCACCATCAAAATGGTGTTTTTATTGCAAATAATTCACATAATGTGAATACAAAATTCGCCTCACGTCTTAGAATACAGCCTCAACAATTGGCATTTTAAATTGTACATAAATGTTTGGTATGCCGGGGCAGTCACTTGTTTAACAACTCTAGAATGCAAAACATCTCTCTCTCTCTCTCTCAGCCAAAAAATTATCATTGTAAATATACACCTTAGAAATGCATTCCACCCATGCCGCTGGCGCCCATGGCTGGGCTCGCACTCTCATTCTTTGGAAATTCAGCAACAACTGCCTCAGTCATTGTCATCAATGATGAGACACTGCATCCACGGTGAAGAAGAAAAATCAAGGAATAGGATCACTCAAAACTACTTCATTCAAAGCATCTTTTGGGGTAAGAGGCTCGATTTCTCGACCTCAGGAACAACACACTTTAAGCTATGAGACCTAAATAAGATGTTCTTTAAAAGGAAAATGTGAGCACATAGAAGGGGGTGATAAATGTTCCTTCGGCTTCAGCTTTGTGGTAGACATCACAGCTTGGGGGATGGAGGTGAAAGGTTCCAACAATTTCATCTTTTGTGCCAAAACATCAAATAAAATTGACCTATCTTGTCCTAAAGGAAAAAGTTTATATAGAGCCGAGGCTCTAAACAATCAAATTAAAGCCCACCTCAAAAATTTCACTAGAGGAGAAGAGGTTGATTTGATGCCCAAATATCCATAGACATGAGAGAAAAAAAATAGATTTCAAGTTTTGGAAATAGTGCATCTTGTAATGCATTTATGGACCGTCAGTTTTCAAGTTTTCATAGATCTGACCAACCTTCACTATTTTTTAAGCTTTAAATTTTATAATTAAAGATGAAAATATGAAAATATATTTTAAGGCTATTACAAAGATTTTCAGTATTGAAACCACCTTTCTCGACACTATTTGAAGGTGCGCTTTACTTTGATTGTTTAGATCCTCGGCTCTATACAAACCGAACCCTTTCCTAAATACTGCTTAATTACCCAAAAAAGCTGAAAATCCTAAAAACCATAAATTGAGAAAGGGCGAAAAGCCTGTTCCTCAAATATGAAGGACAATTCTTCATTACAAATTTCAACATATATCTATTCTAAAATAAAATAGATTGACAACCAAAAACTATAAAAATAGTAACAACTATCATAATCATCATCAAATACTAAAAAGTGGAATTTACCTTGCCGCATCCACCAAGGCAGTTCTGATGACCTTCAATGGATCAATTATTCCAGCCTTCACCATGTCCACATATTCCCCTGAGTTATATAAATTTTTGGTTTGTAAAGGTTAATCATACGAGAGAACTAAATGGCGAAAATTCAAACTACATTTGAAAGCAAAAAGACAAAAATTCCCTTTAGCAAATAATGGATAAGCATATATACCTTTGGCTGCATCATAGCCGAGGTCGGGGTTATCCTGCTCAAGTAATTTGCCCACAACCACAGCACCTTCCACACCAGCATTCGCTGCAATAGTCAGTGCAGGTGTCTGCAAGAAGCCAACAATTTCGTACATTAGGACCAAGAAATCATAAAAAGGAATAAAGGAAAGGGGCCTAGATGCCGACAAAATGACTAACACACATTTAGCTTAATACTCTCTCTCTCTCTCTCTCTCTCTCTCTCTCTCTCTCTCTCTCTCTCTACTACTCTCGTCTCGTACGTACTACGTACTATACGTACTACTACTACTACTACTACTACTACTACTACTACTACTACTACTAACTACTAA